GGGGGGGGGGGGATGGGCGGACATTGTAGACGCGCACGCGGTGGAGCTGACACGTCATTGGCGGAGTGGAACCGAAGCACACCTGAGGGTGGCTTGACTGACAGGCGAATCAGCCAATCAAAGGCAAGCTGTAGAAAACGCCGACCTTTCAATCGGTTTCTTTGAGGTCTGGATGTTTTACTGTGGTTTGTGCCAAGATTGGCAAAAACCAAAACATTTTTTTTTTTTTAATGACGCAGCCATGGACTTCGATCGGCGGGGGCCTCCCGATTTTGGTGGGAACCCCCCCACTCGCAGCATACAAGTTGTAGTTATGGTTCTTCTTCGACTGGAAGTGCCATGTGGCGATGGTGGCCAGGAAGCGAACGGAGTAGATAGGGAGGAAGTGGTGAGGGTGTGGCCCTCCTCAAGTCCACGATTGTTCACCAGGCAGCGGACCTCACTGCTGGAGGCAGACCGGCTCCAGTAGGGCCGAGGTTTACCGCGTGAGGTAAACCAGGTCTGCAAACTTGACCGGTTTTATGGACTGATGGCTGGCGGTGCGCTTCCCATCCGGAAGAGCAGCTTCGTCTGCCACTGGTAGAATTTATTTCTGCAGTTTATCGTCTAGCCTGAGACTGCGAGCCAAACAAACGGTTCATAAACCATTATCAAAAGAATTCAAATACTGTACACTTATTTTGGGAGTCACACGTAAAACGTTTCTCACTACTTTTGCTCAGTGTACATTTCTGTTGAAGTCACGCGGGGCCAAATAAAAGTTTCATCCCTAATGAGAACCCAAACTTCATGGTTCTTGTTGGCCGAGTCTTTGTTCCACCTCGAAACTTCTTCCTAATGCCCTGCAAACAAGTGGAGCAGACCTGCACAAGCCACTGGAGAGTTCATTAAGAAACAGCAGCAAAGATAACTGTAAACAAAAGAAAAGGAAAATATCCACATAAAAAAAGAAAAAAGACCAAACAAAATTTCCTACAGACAAAAAATCTCCCCAAAATCAACAAACTTTACACACTAATTAAAAATAAATAAGCAAAAAAAAAAAAACAATCCTCAAAACACAAACACAAAAGCAGTCAATAATTCACTCCGAAGTCGACAAAAATCCCTTAAAATTGACACAATACCACAAAAATCTATTCCCATAAAAACATAAAAATTATTTGCAAAGTCACATCAGAATGGGCAAAATCTACCACTAAAATGTAAATTGGCACTCACAAAAACAGACAAGAATTCATGTAAAAATCGACAAAGTCCATAAAAAAGACATATCTGTCTCCAGAATGGACATAAATTACCACAACACCTAAAAATGGACAAAAATAGCCGAACAAAAGTGCTCTGAAAAAAAAAAACAAACAAATCTTGATCTTCATGGTCTCTGTCAAGCAGCCGGTACAAAGGAGTCACGTCGAGGTCACCGTTCATTCAAAATTGAGTGTTTATTTCGACAACCTCACACATGTTGCGCCCGTCTCATCTCTCGCGAGCAACGTGACACCAAAAGTATTACAAAAGCCACTTTGATCGAATCTCAAGTCGTCCCCTCGAAGGAAAGCGGAGGAGAAAAAAAAACCCACCAAAACAAAACCAAATTTGCGAACACCTCCTAAAAAGCATCTTATTGTCGCCGCTGCCGACGGTCACCGCTCGGCAGCCCTGAGGAATATACCGAACAAGCTCACCTGAGGCAAGGCAGTTGAAGTCTTCTCTAATCAAACAAACAAACAATCTAGCGTTGATGCTGATGCGACCTTTGCACGAAAACATCGCACGGACCGTTTCAAAGTCACAAAAGGAAGTGTAGTTCGCGGAGTCAAACGAGCAAAAAAGACGAGAAAGAGGCGCGCGTCGTTTTCAGGGCACCACGCTGTACGGCTGGTAGGGCAGCAGCTTCCGCCGCTGGTCTATGGCGTAGATCCAAGCCGGCTTGACGAAATTCAGGTTGCCGTTCTCCATCAATGCCTAAAAACGATTTCATCCGGAGAAAAACGGCAAAGTCGGGATTCGACAAAAACTCTTCTTAGTTGAGAAAGGCACAAAAGCCAATTTTCACAAGAGCAAAACTAAAACTTGCGTCGAATGACCCAACCTAGTCAAAGTTAGTTGCGTGGAAAATCCCCAACTGAAATTCTCTCTCTCTCTCTCTCTCCATCTACCTATGGAGATGTTGCGCCCTCTGTTACCCAGCGCGCACATTCACCCGCGCAGCTTCCCACAATCGGCGAGTGAACTCACGTCCTCGAAAGAGTCGTGCCATCCTTCGCCGGTCACCACAAAGTGCACCGCCTCCGACATGTAGTCCTCCAGGACGCTGCGAGGGAGGAAGCGAAGACGCAAGAGGTTCAAAGTGTTGACGCAAGGCCTGTGGAATTCAGTAAGGTCCGGTTTTGCGCGTGCGCGGCCAGTCAATCTATCAGTGAAGGTTGATGGGAGGTGAACTCAAGAGTGCGCAAAGACGTTTGGGATTCTGTTGGAGCTCGGAAGCTCAGCCTTGTTTGTAATCCTGACCGGAAAACAGAATTGAACTTTCGCCTTTGCGCGCGCCGACCAAATCCAACGGGCTAGAAAAGGATGAGTTACCCGTTAAAGGCGGTGATGTAGCGCGTCAGTTGTCTCCTCTCGTTGTTGGGGAACTTGCCGTAGAGGAAAAAGTGCTTCCCGTCCAGGTAGTCTGCAAGACACAAACGTCAATCGGCGGGAACGAAAAGCCGAGATCGGAGGGCCGTGCGCAAGGGACGCCGAGACTAACCGGGCAGGTCCGGGATGGGCCGATCCTGCTCCTGCTCGGCGTCCGTGTTCTCGTCCGTGGAGCCAGCGTAGGGATCCTCTTCCCGCGTGAGCGCTTTGCTATTCTTCTGCCTGTTCTCGCTCTCCACCCTGACACGGCCAACGAAAGAGCGCCGAGCATTTAGCTCGTCTTCCGCGACCGTTGACTGAACCGCAGACGGGGCGAGGCGCACCACATTGTGGAGCGACCGGACGCCAGCCGACACGAAGGCGAGCTGGCCAAACGCGCGATGGGCCAGTCATTGACGAGGTGCGCAAAGAATCCGCACATCCATTCGCCCGAGCGACCGCTTCCGTGCCTCGCCAGGTGCTGCTCTTTTGGTTCGCCACAAGCCAGCGTTAAGGATCCAAAGTAGGGATATTTTATTTATTTTTTTATTTTTTTTCTTCAGGCAAGGGCTGGAGCTTCAAAATAGGCAGAGTTAGGCTCTTAGATTCGGATTTCAAGCCACGTTTAGTATGGGAGAGGAGAAGCCGGCGATCAACATTGCAACCCAGTGCGTGGGCAGCGATTTGAAAACACGCGGCTCGCTGTTTGTCGGGTCTCCCAAGGTCAAGTCATTTTTCACACGGCAACACAAGCAAACTCTCCAACCGCCTACAAAGGTGCCGCGGGGCTCTTTTCCTCACAAGGGAGACGGTCCGGGCACCTCTTGCAGCATTCTGGCTGCGGTCGCAGCACAAGGTCACGTCGGGCGCGCGCAAAAAACATACAATTGCAGAATTGTGGTCTGCATTTTCTTTTTGATATTGTGTTTTGGGGACTGCAAGAGCCACTTTTCTCATAGTGTGGCTGGTGCCGCGACTTCGACTCAGGTACGACTTCGACACAGGACGCGTTTGGAAATGCACTCCGAGGCCCCAAACAGCACACTGAAATTTCGGCGATGGGAGAGGCAGAGCGTCCTGCCCTCCGGTGAATTCCTGAACGCAGCCGAGATGCTCGCAACCGATCAGCAGCTCGTACTTGAACCGTTCCCTTGTACCGCACGAGTGTCCGGCACTCCTTTTCGGGGGCCCGCCCAATGACCAAACGGTCAGAATAAAGCAGTGAGCGCTCAGAGCAGATTGCGCAGCTTTGGCGGTTTCGGGAAAAGCCGTTGAAATCTCTTGCGGCGGGTTTACCTCTGCAGTTCGTCCTCCGTGTCATCGGCAGAGTCCTCGTCGACGCCTGGGAACACAGATGCTCATTTGTCAATCCATCCTCACACACACACACGGGACGGGGGTGACGTGCACCGTGGACGTTTAGGCAAGGACAGCCAGCTTGATTTGCAGAGCGCATTTTATGCACAATGCAACATTTCAACGGATTGAAATACAAACGGCAGTGCAGAAATGGAGGACGGCGTACTTAAAATGACCCAAAAAAGCCACAACATTTCTTCCTTTCTACACCAGAGGAGCCAGGTTGATTTTAAACGCAGCCAAGCGTTTCGTGTCGGAGAATTAATGGCGTGTTGTTAGGTTGCGGTTCAGGCGGAGGAGGGGGGAAAAAAAAAGACAAAAAGGGACAGGGCAAAAACGGCAGCTAGCAGGCACCGCAGAGAGCTCATTAAAACGCCGTAGCTCTCGTAGGCGGCTTTTTTCTTGCACTTCCTCGGCCACTTCACGCGTGGCCCCGGCATTAACATAGTAATGAGAATCATGCCCAAGTCCCGTCACAGCCATCGGGCCCCCGCCGCCACACTCCACAGCAATCC